AATGCTTGGGATGTGCTCCTGGCACATACATGTAGAGCTGGTCCTGGGCTTTCCCTCCAAAGGACCTGGAGTGAAGGAAGGAAGGTTTGTCTCCTGGGTGATGCTGGGAACTCATCCCAGAGGAAGGAGGGAGAGGACAGCAGCTTTCCTACTCACACCTCACTCCTCTGGACCCGTGTCCCGCTGGCCTGGGGCAGCATGGAGCAAAACCGCAGCTGGCTGAGCTCCTGCTGGGGTGGAGGGATGGCTGGGGCTCATATCTGTGTCCCTCTGCCCACCAAACCTGGGCACCTCTTGCCACCAACCCCTACTGGGGTCCCAGCCCCCAGCCCACCTGTGTGTCCCACACCCAGGGTGATGCTCACCAGAGCTGGGGTGGGCACTCGGCCCCCACGCTGGGAGAAGCGGCCACCGAGGCAGAGCCGGTGCTGGATGGCATCCGTGAGCTTGTGCACAACCCGCTCTCGGGCAGCTCTGGGGGCGTCCTGTGGTGGACAGAGCCCACATAGATGATGGGCTGAGTGGGTCTGTCCCCAGGGCTGGGGCACCCGTGATGCACAGCAGAGTCTGGCCCTGGAGGTTCCCCAGCGTGTCTTACCTGGCAGTGGGAAAGCAAAGTCAGGGCCTCCTGGTAGTGCCCAATGGCTTTCTGGGGGTCTCCCAGGTGGAAGCAGGCTGTGCCCAGCCCCTCACATGCTTGCCACTGCCCCTGCACGTCCCCTGGGAAGCAAAGGGCAGCATCAGTCCCAGCACAGTGTAGTCGAGGTCCTGGGCAGGGAGCATCACCCAGCTTGAGTCCACTCAGCACCTGGATGCTGCAGACTGCCCGGGGGGGTTTGCCTGTGCCTCCCCTTACCTGAGTCCCGGAAGGCTTGCAGGGCGTGCAGGTGGTTCTCTGTGGCAGCCTCATGGTTCCCGAGCCGGCTCCAGGCGTATGCCAGATTCCCAAAGCACTGCCCCTGTGCCCTCCGTTTCCCCAGAGTGCCTGGAATTGGGAACACGGGGCTCCATCCCAAGCCAGTACATCCAGCAAAGCCAAGAGCCGGAGACAGTGGTGTAACCTACCGTGCAGCGCGGCCGCGCGCTGGTGCCAGCCCAGTGCTGTGCCAAAACTGCACAGGGCATTGTGGGCAGCACCCAGGTTCTGCAGCAGTGCAGCCTCCCAGTGCCGGTCCCGCTCCAGCTCCCCTCTGCAGAGCCCGAGGGCCCGCTCGAAGCTCTCAGCAGCCAGGGAGAAGATGTGGAGCTGGGAGTAACCCAGGCCGATGTCGTTGTAGAGTTTCCCTGGGGGCATAGAGGAAAAGTGGGTGCAGGAGCTGCTACCTGGGACCCTTGAGAGCAAAGGGTGCAGCACAGCGTTACCTCGCAGGGCCGGGTCGGGGATGGTCTCACAGAGCGAGCGGCACTGGGCGAGGACCCCTGCGATCTCCGCCGCTCGGAACCGCCGGCTCTGCAGCATGGAGCCACTCGCCCTGCTCAGAGCCACCGCCGCGGCCTCGGGGCTCTCCGCTGCCGTGTAGGTCTGTGCCGCGTCCAGGAAGCACCGCGCGGCTCGTGCCGGCTCCCGCATCCCCAGGTAGCAGCAGCCCATCTGCATGTGGGTCCCTGCTCGACCGCCAGCCTGCGACACGTCATTGTGGCCGGTGGCTTTGCCAAAACAAGCCTTAGGAAAGTCCTGAAGCCCTTCCTGAGCTGCCCCAGCGTTGAAATAAAGGTCCCCCCAGTGCTCCCCATTCTCCCTCTCCAAGGGCTGGGACTGGAGGAGGAACTTAAGGGCCTTTCTGGGCTTCCCGGTCTCCACGTAGGCAGCCCCCAGGTTGAAGGCACAAGCCCTGCGCAGCTGAGTGCTCACCATGTCCCTGGAGAGGAGCAGGGCCTTCCTGAAGCACCCCACTGCCTCCTGCCCGGCACCCCGTGCCAGTGCCTGGCGCCCGGCTTGTGTGAGCCCCTCAATCGCAGCCACCCTCCCCACCGCCTCATCACCTCCCTCCTGGGCATCTCCCCTGGCCTTGGCCTTCTTCTTTTTCTTCAGGCTCTTCTTGCAGCTGGGAGGGTTGGTGGGGGCTGTGGAGGCTGTAGGGGCTGCAGGGGTGGTGGTGGTGGTGGTGAGGACGGGGTTGTCAGGGGCGGTGGGTTGCACTCCTGGGTCAGCAGCCTCCTCTGAAGCCATAAGCAGGGGCAGTGACCTGTCTACAAGAGAGGCAGAGGCTCAGGCAGCTAAGGTGGCATGATCCTGCCAGGGATCGCTTCAAATGAGCAGAGTTATTTTATATTATTTACGAAAAATTAGGGAACTCTTGCAGTTTGTTTGCTGCTAAAATTTCAAGGAGGAAAAAGGCCTTTCCACAGAGGACCCTGCTAACCTCGGTGGCCACCAGAGGTGAGAGAGCTCACTCCGGGGGAGCAGGGGAGATCCTGCAGCACGGGGGGTGGGGGGCGTGGGAAGTTCCCAGGGTGCCTTTTTGGGAGGCAGAATAACCATTTGCACATACTTACTGTTTGCTCTTCAGGCGCAAAGGGTGCTGAGAGCAGGCAGGGGAGGGACAGGGCATACCCGCCGTTGCTGCTGCAAGTCACAGCTCTCTGATGGGGATGGATGGAGGGGGTCCGAGAGGCCTCTCCACCTGGGCTTCCTGGAAAGTTGCCCCGAGCAAGTCGCAGCCCCCCAGTGATGGCCGCTGGCGCCTGGTGCTAGAGCACAGCTGAGTTCTGAGTGGCAGGAGCGTGGCAGGAGCTGGCACAGGCTGGGACAAAGCTCCTGGGGAAGCACATCCTGCAATGGCCCCGCTGACTCTGGTTTCATCCCTGTCACCAGCATGGTGTGCAGCGCCATGGCAACTCCGTGCAGCAGCACCGTGTGAGACCTGTCATGGATGGATGGCACAAACTGGGTGACAGTGTCGTGGTTTAAGCCCAGATGGAAATTAGGCACCACACATCCACTTGCTCAGTCCCCCTTTTTCTCCCTTCCAACCCCATGGAATAGGGAGGAGAATCAAAAGTGAAACTTGCAGGTTGAGATAAGAACGGTTTAATAATAGAAAACAAAGTAAAATACAATAATAATGGTAAGTAATAATAATTAAAAAAAGGGAAAGAAAAAACCCCCAAGTGATAAACAATACTATTGCTCACCACTCGCTGACTGATGCCAGACTCCCTTCCCAAACCCAGATCAGCCCCTCCCAGGTAATTTCCCCAGTTTATATACTGAGCATGATGGTCTATGGTGTGGAATATCCCTTTGGCCAGTTTGGGTCACCTGCCCAGGCTATGCTCCCTCCCAGTTTCTTTTGTGAACCTTCTCACTGGCAGAGCATGAGGCACAAAAACCCCTAAAGGTCCTGGACTTAGGAGAAACACAATTTAGCAAAAACCAAAACATTGGCGTTATTAACATTATTCTCATTCTGAATCCAAAACACATCACTGTGCCAGCTACTGAGAAGAATATTTTAGCTCCATGCCAGCCAGAACCCGGACTGATGGATCCTACAAACACATAGTGGAGGGCACAACTGTGCGCTGGGCAGCACCAGCGCATGATGGACAGGACACGGGCACAAGGGATGACACAACCACGCTGTGGATAGCATAACTGGCCCCCCACTGTCTCGGCAGCTCATGGCAGGCGCTGGGGGATCGGTTCGTGGCAGGGCAGGTCTGTGCTTTGGCGCAGGTTGATGGACAGTTGCAGAGCAAGGAGGGCACAGTGAACCCCAGGGCTGGCACCCTGGGCCTGGCACAGCCTTGGCCCCTGGGCACAGCCCGTAGTAGGGTCCCTCAGCAGCCCCTGCTTGGACCTTCACCCACCAGTTCCCCCTGCACCCCGGTGCGTGCCACCCCCTGAACCCACGGGGTCCTCCCGCTCCCCGCTGTGTGCCACCCCCCGCACCCATAGGCGACCGCTGCATCCCGGCGTGTGGCAACCCCCGCACCCACGGCCTCCCCCCCTCCCCTCGGTGGTCCCCACGCACCCCGTTTTGTGCCACTCCCCGCACCCCCGGGCTCCCCGCACTCCCCTCGGGGGGCCCCGTCCCCCGCTGTGTGTCACCCCCCGCACGCACGGGCTGCCCCGCCCCGCCGCTCCCCCCGCCCGGGGCCGGACCCGCAGCACCCGGCGGGCCCCGCGCGGAGCCACGTGGGCGGCGGGAGATTCAAACCGCGGGTGGAGCCGCCGCCGCCACCGCGGCCATGGAGGGAACCGGGACGGGGCGCTGTGAGTGACCAGCACCGGCAAGGGGGGACTGCCGGGGGAGGAGAGGCGATGGGGAGTGCGGGGGCCGGGGGGACAGGCAGGTCTGGGGGTGCAGAGGGATGGGGGCCGGGTAAGTCTGGGGCAGTCGGGGGGTGGACAGGGAGGTCCGGGGGTAGGGGGGGATGAGGGGAGCAGGCAGGTCTTGGGGTGCAGGGCGATCTGGGGGGATAGGTAGGTCTGGAGGTGCAGGGGGATCTGGGGGGACAGGTAGGTCTGGGGGTGCAGGGGGATCTGGGGGGAGAGGGGGATGTAGGGGCTGGTAGGTCTGAGGATGCAGAGGGATGAGGGAACAGGCAGGTCTGAGGGTGTGCATAGAGGAAGGGCAGTAGTGTGTAGGGTCCCAGGCACCTGGGGACGAACAGGGGGACGTGTTTGAGGAGTTGTTTGGTGGTGGGCAGCCGTGGGTGCCTCCAGCACCAGCAGTGCCAAAGGATCCCAAACCTGCAGCTGTGTCCCCCTGAGTGCTGGCTCTGGGCCCCCACTCCCTGGTGCCAGCTCTGGGTGCCAGCTGTGGCCGTTATTTGGGAAAAAGGGAAGTTGGAAACTTTTCCTTCAACCGCCTGAAGGGCCTGGCTGGTGTCACCGTCATGCTGGTGCCTCCCCCACGTGGCTGTGGGAGGCTGCTGTGCCAAAAGCCTGCCTCCCTTTCCCAGATCTTAGTTTGGGTGGCCATGGGGGCTTCCAAAAGCCCCCTCAAGCAGAGGGCTCTGACGGGCACCCCCCTCACTGCCCAGGTGAGCGGCTGACTGCGGCCGAGATGGACGAGCAGAGGAGACAGAACGTTGCCTACCAGTACCTCTGTCACCTGGAGGAAGCCAAGCGGTGGGGCTGCACCCGGGGAGCCCCTCGAGCTCAGATTTGGGGGGGAAAAGGGGTGCAAAGGGGAGGGGATGAGAGCAAGGGGTCTGGGTGGGGGGCAGCTATAATGCTGCAGAATCTTGCCCAGACTCTGGGTCTTTGTGGCCCTCAAAGATGCTTTTGGGGGTGGCTTTTGGGGGAAGGCTCTCAGCCAAGCACCCAAACTGAGAACCACCTGGCAGCAAAGGGCTGGAGGCCAACCTCCCCTGCCAGGGGCATTTATGGGGAGGGGGTTGAGGGGGTCTCCTCTGGGTGCTTTTCCTGCCTGGTGGGATGCTGGGATCTGTGATGTGCCCCATCTTTGCCCTGCCAGCTGGATGGAGGCCTGCCTGGGTGAGGGGCTGCCTCCCCCCACTGAGCTGGAGGAGACCCTGCGCAACGGGGTCCTCCTGGCCAAGCTGGGCCACTGCTTTGCCCCGGCTGTGGTCCCACTGAAGAAGATCTATGATCGTGAGCAGACTCGGTACAAGGTAAGGCTGTGACACCAGGGGTGTGTTCCTTAGGGTGTACAAGTTCAGCCTGACTCTAGCTCCACTTTTCCAGGCAGCTGGGCTTCACTTTCGGCACACGGATAACATCAACTACTGGCGTGATGCCATGAGCCATGTGGGCCTTCCCTCGGTAATGTCCCCCCTCTGCTCTCCCTGGCCAAGGGACACGCTGGCCTCTGCCCTGTGGCAACACCGTGGGGAGTGCTGGTGTGGCAGAGGGTCTTTGTCTCTGCCCCTCACCCTTGGACACCATCCTGCCCAGGGACCGTCTCGATGCCATCCCCACCTGAGCTGTCTCTTGTCTTTCTGGCAGATCTTCCACCCAGAGACCACCGACATCTATGACAAGAAGAACATGCCCCGGGTGGTCTACTGCATCCACGCACTCAGGTGGGTGGCCTGGCCTGGCTGTCACCACTCATGAGCCACTCATGTTTGTGCTCACGAGCCCTTTGGTGGCATCACCCACCAGCCTCGGCTGCCGCAGAAGCTTTGGGAGGGAGAAGCAGGTGATGTTACGGTCATGGTCTGTCTTTCAGCTTGTACCTCTTCAAGCTGGGGCTGGCTCCTCAGATCCAGGACCTGTATGGCAAAGTGAACTTCACAGGTATGCTGCTGTGTGGGGGGGACCTGGGCTGGGGGCTGGTGAGGAGGGGTTTGCCATTGATGTTTTGGGATCCAGTGGCAGGAGGGGTGTGAGGAGTGAAGATTTTGGGTGAGCTTTGCCAAAGCTGCCTCAGGGATGCTCACCCCAGTATGGGGATTTTCTGCACCCCTCTGGTTTGGAAGGGGAACAGGGGCTCTGCTGGCTGCCCCCACTCCAGTGCTGTCTCTCTGCTCTGCTCCAGAGGAGGAGATCAACAACATGAAGCGTGAGCTGGAGAAGTATGGGCTGCAGTTGCCTGCCTTCAGCAAGATTGGCGGCATTTTGGCCAATGAGCTCTCAGTGGATGAAGCAGCAGGTGACGGGTGCCTGGTGGGGAGCAGGGCTGGGCAATCAGCCCCTGGATACCAGGTCTGAGGCCAGCAAACTTGAGAGGTGGTGCTCTGGGAGGTGGTGGTGGTCTGGGATGCAGCGGAGGCACCTGGTTGCTCACCTTCAGCCCTGCACGTGGCTGCAAGGGCTGGCACAGCCCCTTCCCCACTGGCAGCACCGGGGGTTCTACATTACCTTTTCTTGCTGTGAGACACCGAGACTTCCCACGTTCTGGAGACTGCAGCTCACTCTTTGGTGGTTCCCACCATGGTGCATGGAGTGGCTCTTGTCCCACTGCGTGCAGGGTTATAGTGGATGGTCCATCTCACTCCTCCATGTCTCATCTCACCCCCCTCCTTCCCACCTCGCCTCCAGTCCACGCCGCAGTGCTGGCGATCAACGAAGCTGTGGATCGGGGGGTGGTGGCCCAGACGATGGAGACCCTCCGCAACCCCAGCGCGATGCTGCAGGACCTGCGCGGGGAGCTGGCGGGTGCCTACCAGGAGGTGCTGCACCGGGCGAAGCTGGAGAAGGGCAGCAATGCCAGGAACAGGGTGAGGAGGGCATGGGGGGCTCGGGGGGGGGGCAGCTGAGAGAGGAGCAGCCCCTTTGCTGATGGGTGCTTCAAGCTGGAGGGGTCCCTTGGCCACAGACCATACGGTGATTGCTGGGTGAAACACAGCCTGGGAGCCCTTGTGCTGAGCAGAAGAGGGGGGAGATGATTCCTCTTTGGGGGCCTAGTTGATCCCCAGGGCTTGGAATTGGGAAATGAGCCCAGGCACCTGCAAGGGACCCTGCTGTGTGCTGTGGGGTGAGCTTGGGAGGAAAGCTCAGGGTGAGGAGTCTCTCTCCAGTATCTGCAGGTGATCCCTGAGGGAGAGGATGTCTATGACCGGTGTCTGACCCAGGCTGAAATCCAAGGGAACATCAACAAAGTGAATGGTGAGGGAAGCTGGGGCTTTCCTCTTGGGGGGGTTTCTAGGGCTTTTAGTGGGACCATAGTACCCCAGGGCATGAGGAGAGTGATGGATATAGCAGGAAGGAGTGATACAGACCCATCAGGGATCAGGGCTAGATGTGCATTTCCAAGGAGAAATTAAAATGATGGGTATCCAGGCTTCACCCATAGCTGCCTTTGCTCCCTGAAGCTGTGGGATGATTTACCTGCTGACTTCTGGGATGGACTGGCCTCTTGTAGTGCATGGGACTCTGGAGGAGGTGGACGATGCCCTGCAGAGACAGGATGTGCCAGCACTGCACCGGGCGCTGCAGGACCCCGTCCTGGCCCTGCGCTGCCTCCAGCGCGACAACCTCCAGCTCTACTTGGAGCAGCTCAGCATGGACCGGGAGCAGAAGGCACTGGTAGGTGCTGTCAGGAGCCCGTGGTTTGGGGTACCTGTGCTGGGGGTGCACCTCCGTGGTCCTCAGGAGGAGGAGGGTCCCTTGCGTGGGAGTTGCTCTGCGGGTTGGCAGATTTCTGACAGGGTCTGAGCACGGCTCCTCCATCGGTGTGAGCAGGATGAGGTGTGAGACCCAACACCCATCTCTGCCCACTGCAGGACCTGGGCTACCTGGAGATGCTGGACCAGGAGGAGGTGCAGGCGGGGATCCTCACAGCCAACAGGAGGGACGAGGAGGAGCGAGCCAGTGAGTGCCAACAGGGACATGGTGCTCGCAGTGCTGCCCTGTGAATGCCCAGGAGCTGGTGCCCCTGCCAGCAGCCCGGCCAAAGGGAGACCAGGCACAGCCACCTCCTGCAGCCCCCCTGTGCCAGCTCCCCTGGTCTGTCCCTCAGTGCTGCTGGCTGTCAGCCGGATCAACGCCGCCATCCGCCGAGGGATGCTGGCTGAAACCTTGGAAGCGCTGACGGACCCTGCGGCGCAGCTGCCCGATGTGCACCCCTTTGCTGCCCCCCTGTACCAGCGCCAGCTGGCCCTGCTGCAGCGCCAGCACCCACAGGTGAGAGATCCCCAGGCACGGGAGATGAGGGGATTGGTGCTTCCCCTGCGCCCGGGGGTGCTGGGCTGGAGGAAGGGGTTATGAGGGATCAGTGTCTCCGTCTGCCCCGGGCAGGGTGAGCTGGCACAGGAGGAGCTGTTCGTGGCTGTGGAGATGCTCTCGGCTGTGGCGCTGGTCAACCAAGCCCTGGATGTCGGGGATCCTGACGGGCTTTGGAGCAGCTTGGTCAGCCCTGCCCTGGGCCTCTCGGGAGTTGAGGATGCAAATGTACAACGGTGAGAAGATGGGCTCTGTGTTTGGGGTCAGTGTGGAGAAATCCAGTGGGAGGGGATGGTCAGTCAGCCTGCGCTTTTTGTGGGTTTGTTCCAGCAGCCTCCTGCCCTGTGCCTTGCCTTTCCCCTCTGAAGAGCCAGGCAGCTGGCTGTGGCAGGCGCCATCCTGCTCGGAATGCATTGAACCCTGCTTGGAAATGCACCAAGCCATTGCCCTGTGTCTCTCCTTCAGGTACTTTGAGGATTTGCAGCAGCTGAAAGGCCAACCTAGGGAAGCGGGAGCTGAATTCCTGAGCTGGAATGACATTCAGGACAGTGTGAACAGCACCAATTCATTGGTGCAGGATGAAAATGACAGTGAGTCCTGCCCACATGGGGTTTGGGCGTGCAGGGGGGTCTGCAGACACCCCAGATAGGGAGGTTGCACTGGGATTCCAGCCCCAGAGAACCTCGCACCACCCTGGGCTGTGACTCCCTTGGGTGCCTGGAACACGGGGGGTTGAGCAGCACGTCCCTTCCCTCCCACGCAGGAGTCCACGCGGTCAGGCTGGTCAATGAGGCGCTGCTGCAGGCAGACCCGGAGAAGACGCTGGCGGCGCTGCTGCTGCTGGAGGCTGCCCTACCCGACATCGCCCTCCCAACCGCCCAGCGCTACCACGACGTCCTGTCCCGGGCACGGAGGCAGAAAGCCCAGGTGGGCTGTGGAGTACCTCCATGGAAGCATGGCATCCCCCCTGGCTGTGGGGTACCCCACTGACTGCATGGCATCCCCCCTGGCTGTGGGGTACCCCACTGACTGCATGGCATTCCGCCCTGGATGCGGGGTACCCCACCTCGGTGGCATGGCATCCCCCAAGGCTGTGAAGTACCCCCCACCCCCATTAGTGCAGCACCCTGCAAAGCAGAAGGTGCTCAAGGGGGGCTGCCCAGCTTGTTAGACTCCTTTTCCCCCCGTGCCCAACTCTGCTGTCTCGCAGGCCATGGGGGATGACGGAGCTGTGCTTTGGTGGGAAGAGATCCAGGAAGGGGTCTGCCGGGCTAACCAGGACACAGTGGCAGCCAGAAGGAGTGAGTGCTCTCCCCACACAGGCTCTGGGTGCTGAGCCCCTGTGGGCTGGGGTGCTGCTATGGGGTTCAGAGGACGAGAAGGTGCTGACGTGAGCCCCCCCTGTTCCCTCAGTGGCTCTGGGCATTGCTGCCATCAACCAGGCCATCAAGGAAGGGAAGGCGGCGCAGACACTGCGGGTGCTGCGCAACCCTGACGTGGCCCTGTGTGGTGTGGTGAGCGCCTGTGCCGGTGCCTACCAGGAGCAGCTGGCGGCTCTGGTGGCCACCAAGAGACCGGCAGGTAAAACCTTGGGAGCTGCAGAACTGCCCCCCCCTCCACCTGAGGTGTTCGAGGGGAGCAGCACCACCCAGCAGTTCCTGTCTGTCCTGGTGTGCAGGGAGTGAGAAGCTGTACTGGATCCGGCACAGGCTGCCAGACGGTGCCGAGTACTACCTGAGCCTTAAGACCTTTGAGGGCAGCTGGCAGTGCCCACGCGACGGCGGCCTCAACACCACACACCTGAGCCGGGAGGAGATCCAGGTACAGGCCGGACGGGGCTGGGTGGGCACCGGTGGCATCACTGGGGCTGAGCTGATGCCTCATGTCCCCACAGCTGGTTGTCACCCGAGTGACGGCAGCGCACGACCGGGAGTGCCTGTGGGCATCCAACACCTCCTTCGTGGTGAGGCTGCAGGCTCGGCTCCGGGGCTTCCTTGTTCGCCGGGAGTTCGCGGCACGACGGCACATCCTGCGGGAGCAGCAGCCGGCTGCCGTCAGGATCCAGGTGATGCAGCCAGAATCCATCCCACCTCTGTGCACAGGGACACAGCATCCTCTGGCGGGTCCAGCGACCTCTGCCATTTCACTGCTGGGGCCCCCCGAGGTGCTGCAGAGGGTGGTGTGGGACTTGTTTCTCTCACAGCAGCTGCTTTGGGTGCTGGTTTCCTCTTTTCTTGTGCTGCGTTATCCTCTTCCCTTGTGTGCTCCTGACTGGGAGTCATGGTGACCTCATGCAGGTCTCTAGCTGGTGTCTTCTCTTGTGCCCAGGCTTGTTGGAGGGGGTACAAGCAGCGCAGAGCTTACCTGGAGAGACTGCGTTACCTGCGAGCCAACGCAGAGGCTGCAATCAAGGTTGGGAAGACTCTTCCTTCAGCCTTTGCTCCCTCGTTGGGCATAGCCACCCTCTTGCTCAGCTGCAGGGTGGCATCTACCCCCTGCCCAGTGTAGAGGAGCCAGGGGGGATATGGCAGCTGGGCCAGGGCAGCGTGTGAGGGGATAAGGGAGAACATCTTGCAAAAATCATTGAATAGAATTATGGACTTGTTGAGCTTGGAAAAGCTCTTGAAGATCATTGAGTCAAACTGTTCTCCCAGCACTGCCAAGGCCACCACTAACCCATGTCCCCAAGTGCCACATGTCTGTTAAATTCTTACAGAGATGGTGACTTCACCATTGCCCTGGGCAGCCTGTGCCATGAAGAAATTTTCCCTAGTGTCCAATCTAAACCTCTGGAAATCCTCAGTTTCCCCCCTCTCCACCCACTTGCTTTGGCCAAGTGAGTCCTTGCAGAATCCAACTATTTGAACATCTCTTCCAGATCCAGGCGGGTGTGAGGATGTGGCAGGCTCGGAGGAAGTACCAGGAGAGGCTGCGCTACTTCAGGCAGAATGTCAGTGATGGGATGGGAGCAAAACAGCTCCTGGGAACATGTTGGTGGGGATGGAGAATGATCTGGAGCCCATGTTTGGATCTCCTTCCCTGAGTGCTCGTGGCACAGCTGGAGGGAGAACTGCTGCATCCTGGCCAAGGGGGACAGATGGGAAGGAAAATGTGCCGGGGGGGTCTGGAAGCCAAACTATCAGGCTCTTTGAGGTGTGAGGAGAGACAAAAACCACTCCAGTTCCATCAAAACCCAGGGAATTCAAGATGCCCATTAAAGGGGAAGGAAATTTGGGGGGAAAGGGAGGTATTGGCTGCAGGAAGCGAAGCTGCACCTCTGGAGTTGCTGCAGCTTCTGAAATACAGTGAGCACAGGAGAACAACTGCTGAGGAGGGTGGAATCCCAAAATCCCTCCCCGGTGTGGAGACCCTCATCCCAGGCCTTGGCACACTGCCAGCAGTGGGAGCAGGCAGCCAAATGCCTGTCCAGCTCTCCTCCACTCCCCACGTGTGTCAGGGATGCTGTGAGGAAACATCCCCCATCCCCTTGTTTGTCTTGGCAGATTAAAGCTGTAATTAAAATCCAGGCTTTTGTGCGAGCGAACAAGGCCCGTGGGGATTACAGGATGCTGGGTAAGTGTCTGCTCATTGCTGCTCTGAAGTGTGAGGGCTAATTGGGAAGGGGGCTCTGCCTCCTCCCTCACTGGCCTTGCATGGTTGGGGAGGTGGTGGCAAGTTGGCCATCGGTGTCCCTGTGGTAAGGACAGGAGTGACAGATCCTTGGTGGTTCCTGGGCATCAGCCTTGGAGCTGCCCCTCTGCCCCCAAAAGCTTCCTAGGGGCTGTTGTGCGGTGTGGCCATGCCCTGTCCCATGTCCTAGTACTGCAAGAAGATGCTTTTTCCGGGAGGATGGGGTCTCTGGGTGAGATCCTGGGGGTCCAAGGGTCTGTGATGGGGGTGGCTGCTCTGCCCCCTGCAAGCATGCACGGTGTCGCTGTGTCTTGCCGCAGTCCATGCCAGGAGGCCACCACTGAGCATCGTCCGGCGCTTCATCCACTTGCTGGAGCAGAGCCAGCATGACTTCTGGGAGGAGTCAGAGGTGCTGCGGCTGCAGGAGGAGGTGGTGAAGAGGATCCGTGCCAGCCGGCAGCTGGAGAGTGACCTGGACCTCATGGACATCAAGATCGGGCTGCTGGTCAAGAACAGGATCACGCTGCAGGTGGGGAGCAGGGCAGGGGTCAGGGGAAGATCTCAGACATCTCATGTGGTCCTGCCAAAGTGCCTGAGCCCGTTGGTCCTGCTCTCCACGGCATTGCAGCTTGGACTTAACTCTGCTTCACTCTTCAAGTGGTTGGAGGGGTTGGGAGGGGTTGAGGAGCACTGGGATGCCTCAGGCTCTTCCCAGAGGCTGGTCGGAATGCCGGAGCCTATGGCAGTCCCCAGCACTTCTCTCCCTGCCCACGTGGCTGCAGGAGGTGGTCTCCCACTGCAAGAAGCTGACAAAGAAGAACAAGGGGCAGCTCTCAGAGATGATGTCCATAGACAAGCAGAAGGGGCTCAAGTCACTCAGCAAGGAGAAGCGGCAGAAGCTGGAGGCCTACCAGCACCTCTTCTACCTGCTGCAGGTGGGGCTGGTGGGGATCTGCTGTGTCGCCCACAGCGGGGGGGCAGTGTGGGGACCTGGTCCCCCAGCACTCCACAACATTTGGGTTAGCTTAGTGTCCCTCGTGCCTGCAGACACAGCCGGTCTACTTGGCCAGGCTGATCTTCCTGATGCCCCAGAACAAGTCCACCAAATTCATGGAGTCAGTAATCTTCACGCTTTACAACTACGCATCCAACCCACGGGAGGCTTATCTGCTGCTCCAGCTCTTCAAAGTGGCGCTGCAGGAGGAGGTCAGGTGGGTGTCCATGGGTGTCCTGGTTTGGGGACAGGCCTGGGCAAAGGCTGAACCAAGGGCATCATCTTGGATGCAGTTATCTCCTCTGGCTACTCCCTCCTGCTTGGAGAACACACACACTGGTCCATCCCCTCATCCCATCCGCCCTGTCTCTCTCCCCAGGTCCAAGGTGGACCATGTCCATGACATCCTGATGGGGAACGCCACGGTGATCCGGCTGGTGGTCAGCTTCTACCGCAACGCGCGTGGGCAGAACGCCCTGCGGCAGATCCTGGGTGGCCCAGTGCAGGAGGTCCTGCAGGACAAGGCCCTTGGCATCCGTACCGACCCTGTGGACATCTACAAGGCGTGGATCAACCAGGCTGAGTCACAGAGTGGGCAGAGAAGGTCAGGCCCTGGGTGAGGAGGCTTGGCCCAACCGCAGGTTGACAGGCTTTGGGATGGTGATGGGGATCTTCCTTTCACAGCAAGCTCCCATATGAGGTCAGCCCTGAGCAGGCTCTCAGCCACCCTGAGGTCCAAAGGCGGCTGGATATTTCTATCCAAAATCTCCTGGCAATGACAGACAAGTTCGTCTCTGCCATCACCTCTTCCGTTGACAAGATCCCGTACGTATCCCTATGGTTTCTGTGCCCGCCCCGGGAGCACTGCCAGCTCAGGGGTGTCTCTAGCAAGGCCTTAGAAAGGAGGTTTGGTGACTGGGGTCCTCTTGCCCCTTCAGTGCTGCAGGGCTGTTTTACTGCACTGTCAGCAAGCTGGAACCAAATATCAGCAGTGCCCCATGGGCTGGCTCTTTGGGCCACTCTGAGTGCTTTACTGCTGGTGTTGAGGTGTTGCCAGGGAGAATCTGAGCTGTGGTCATCTCAGAGGATGAAGGCTTCCTCCAGGGATGTCTGGGCTGGCAGCAGGGTAGAGGAGGGAGCCGAGGGATGCTGCAGCTGCCCGCCCCTCCTGTGGGCTCCTCCATTGCCCCAGGGCTGGGGGTTTCCTGTATCTTGAGTTGTGGGCAGTAGAGAGCTGGGGCAGGGTGGTCCTTCATGCTGATGGACCTTTCCCTGCCCTCTCCTCAGCTACGGCATGCGCTACATGGCCAAAATCCTGAGGACATCTTTGACTGAGAAATTCCCCAAGGCCCCGGCAGAGGAAATCGATAAGGTACGCTGGGGCTGGGGGGCTCTGTGCTGTTTGGTGGGGTTCATCTGTGTCTGCACGTGAAGGGCCAGTATCTCTTCACAGAAAGTCAAGTCCTCTGGACTTAAAAATACCTCCAAGTCAATATTTTCCATGAGCCACTAAGGAAATGCCAAGGGTGGGCTCTTCTCAAGGGTGCCATCCCCTCTGGGAGGCTCCCACAGGACAGCGCAAGGATGCAACACCCTTCCCTGCTGAGCCACCACCTCCTCGGGCCTCAGCCTGCCTGCTCCCCCAACCCTTAGCCTGTCTCGTGCCCTAGATTGTGGGCAACCTGCTCTACTACCGCTTCATGAACCCGGCTGTGGTGGCCCCCGATGGCTTTGACATCGTGGACATCTCGGCTGGGGCGACCCTGCACCCCGAGCAGCGCCGCAGCCTGGGCTCCATCGCCAAAGTGCTGCAGCACGCAGCCGCCCGCAAGGCCTTCGACGGGGAGAACGCGCATCTCTGCGGGGTGAACCAGTACCTGGAGGACACCCACAACAAGTTCAGGTGGGCACCAGGACAGCATTGGGGTGAGAAGGCGACTGTGAGCCAGTGGCAGGGTTTTGGGGTTGACCGAAGGGGTCCTTCTCTGCAGGAGGTTCATCTCTGCTGCCTGCTGTGTCCCTGAACCAGAAGAGAGGTTTAATATGGACGAGTACTCAGAGATGGTGGCGGTGGCCAGACCAGTCATCTACATCACTGTGGGGGAGCTCATCAACACACACAAGGTAAGGGCATAAAGCTCACAGCAAGTGAGCTCTGTTTCCTCTGCTCCCACCTCCTGGGCTTTCTGCCGCATTTCCTCACACTCTTCTGTGTCCCACCCCCAGCACAGCTCCTTTCCTCCTGACTCTTTTTTCTTTTTTAAGCAAGGAAATAACCCAGATTCTGCAGGTTTGTTGCTTCTTGTCCTTCCCTGAACATCATATCTGCTCCATCCCCTTTTGGGTGTAAAGGATGCAAAGGGGGCCCTCTCTCCCTCTTCCTTTGCATCCTCCTTTGCCACTGACTCATTCCTTGCACCATCCAGCTCCTGCTCGAGCACCAGGACTCCATCGCACCGCATCACGGAGACCCCCTGCACGAGCTCCTGGAGGATCTTGATGAGATTCCTACAGTCCAGTCCCTGGTTGGTAGGTCAAACTCTGGGACACACCACCCACACTGTCAGGAGGAGGGTGGACATGGGGACAATTTGACTTGCATGAAGCTTGATCTGGTTTCCTTCTGTGTGGGAAACTGGCCCTTTGGAGCCCAACACAGCTAGCAGGGCTCTCTCTGCCCTTGTAGGGGAAAGTGTTGCCAGCCTGGCAGAGAGTGGTGCTGAGCAGGTGCTCTCTCAGCTCAGCAGAACAGAGATCTCCCTTACCCTCACTGGCAAGCTGCTGCCAGCGGCCAGCAGTGAGGAGAGCGACACGAGGAGCTTGCTGCTGAGGTGAGGATGGGCCCCACGGGCATTGGGATTGTGCTGGGGGCTGGGATACTCTAGAGGGGCAAGAAACCCTTGCGTGGAAAGTAAATATTGTGAGCAGGGTGGTGGTCTGGAGTGGATGCCTGACGTCTCGCTCTGGTCTCTAGCACCAAGCAGATGCTGGTGGATGTGATCCAGTCCCAGTCAGGAGATTCCCTCCCAGAAATCCTGTGGACACAAGCCTTGGAGCACGAGGTGGGTTGAGTGAGGCTGCTGCTGGGCATGAGCTAAAAATGTTTGCAGCGAAATGGCAAAAAAACCCTCAGCAAAAAGCTGCCCTGCTCCTCTTGGAGCCTTGGCCACTGCTCTTGTGCTCCAGCAAGAGCTCCAGAAACATATGTTCTGGACCAGAAGAGATCCACATCAAACTGTGCGAGAGGGGGTTTGGTTGCTCCATCTCCTCGTGCCCCATTTCAGCTGCGTTCCAGGCTCAATGCCTTCTCATCCCTAGGAAGCTGCCCACGACCGCCTCGTGCACAGGCGAGCGCTGCAGGATGCCCAGACCCCCACCCAGCTGAAGTGGCACCGCTCCCTGGCTGCCAACGGTCAACTCTCCATGGAGGACAAGAAGCGCAAGATCATCCGTAACCTGCGGCACTTGGAGAGCCTGGGGCTGGTGGACTCTGCCCACCAGTACCAGGAGCTCATTGATGAGTTGGCCAAGGTGTGCTGAGTCAGCCCCCCTGAGATCCTGCTCTGGTGCTCTGAGAAAGCTCAGAATGAGGTATATTGGCTTTCTTGCCTGGCTTTGTTCCCTCCAGGACATCCGGAACCAGCGGCGCCACCGGCAGCACCGCCGCGCGGAGCTCCTGAAGCTGAGGCAGACCCTGCACAGCCTCGATGCCAAGACCTTATTTTATGAGGAGCAAATTGATTATTACAACCAGTACATCAAGACCTGCCTCGACAACCTGGCAGCCAGCAACAAGTATGGTTTCTTACCAAAAATCAGTACTTTTTAAAAAAACCCCACTATTTGTTTTCATTGCTCTCTGGTTCTTGTGACTCCTGGAGATGTTGGGGGTCCAAGGGGACACAGGTGGCTGGAGATGAGCTTTCAGCATGTGGTTCCTCCTCTTCCAGGGTCAGCAGGAAGAGTAAGAAGCTGCCGTCGCTGCACTACACGGCGGCCCGGCTGTTGGAGAAGGGAGTGCTGCTGGAGATCCAGGACCTGCCACCCAGCCAGTATGTAGCCCTGGTTCCATGGGAGGAGCTGTTACTTGGGGTTGTCCTGTGCCAGGGCCAGGAGTTGGACTCGATGATCCTTGTGGGTCCCTTCAGACTCAGGATATTCCATGAAAGCTTGGGCAGGTAGAGGAAAATAACCCAGGAAGAGAGTGCACATGAGCCACCATTGTTCTCCTGGGATGGGGCAAGTAGTTTCATGTAGGAGAACATGGGACAGTTGGGATTTGGAGGGGGGATTTGGGTGGTGGGTCTGGCTGCTGTGCTGAGGGGTTGTGCTGGGTGGGTGACCAGCTCCTTGGTTGCCTTAAAGCCATGAAGCTCCTTCTGGCAGTGAGTGGCTCTGTCCCCTCAGGTTCAAGAACGTGATTTTTGACATCATCCCCTGTGAGGAATCGGGCAAGTTCCAGGTGAAAGCCAAATTCATGGGAATCGACATGGAGCACTTCCAGCTGCACTACCAGGTGGGGAGCCTGTCCTGGGGCTGCCGGTGCCCAGCCAGGCCAGGGGGTGCAGGGGACAGGTGGTGTCCCCCCGCCTGCAGTTTTTGGGGGACTCAGAGCCCATGGGGAGCCCTGCCCTGAGCTGGGGACAGCCTTGTCGTGCATCTCCCACTGCAAGCCCAGCTCTGAGCTGATCCTTCTTCCCGGGCATGGGGCTGGCGGCAGTGACGGTCACCTCTCCCACAGGACCTGCTGCAGCTGCAGTACGAGGGCGTAGCAGTCATGAAGATGTTTGATAAGGCCAAGGTCAACGTTAACCTGCTCATTTTCCTCCTCAACAAGAAATTCTTCAAGAAGTAACAGGGGTGGGGGGGTGGAATGGGCTACGGGGACGGGGGGACCGATGAAAACCTGCCAAAGGCACCTTGGGGTTAGTGATCCTGGGGTAGGGAAGTTTCTGCTGGCCATGCATCTTTCCTGCCTGGACCCAGAGTACTTGAGCACCTGCAGCTGGCTCAGCCCCAGCCCTGGGCACCCCAAGCTCGGTACTGAGCCGGTACCCGACCTCCTCGCAGAAGGATGCAGCTGCCAAAGCTTTTGCAGCGCGTGTTGCTTTTAAAATCTATTTTTTTTTGTGGGTATTTTGGCTGTTTAGTCCCTGTGTTGCCAACAGCCAGCTGCTCAAGGACACTGGATTTCTGGACACTACACAGGTTTTTAGTGATGTAATAAAGGTATTTTAATATATATATATATATTTCTTCCTCACAGTAAGGCTGGAGAAATGTCAAAATCAGTCTTTATATTGTGAGGTAGGAGAGGGGCAGAACATAGAGGCAATAACTGCTTGTGAGGACATCTGTGGCTGTTCCCTACTAAACTGAGGTGCAATAGGAGAATGTTGGTTTCCAAAGATGAATTTCATTGCTCTCCAGCCAGGCTGAGAACAGATACAAAGCAGGGTGGCTCAGAGCCACTGCTCTCCCACGGATGCCGCAGGGCACCAGAGCAGGGACCTCCCCTTTCTGGGTTTGCCTGGTATTGGATGTGGAGCAATCCCATGGCACTGTCTCAGCTGGGATGGTGATGTCTCTCTCCCCTCTTTATTTGCTCTGGTGGGAGCAAAGTTTTCAAATGTGGATAATGATCGAGTTTGTCCACGGATGCATTTAAAGCACTTTCTCTTCATGTGAGCCCCTTCCCTGGGATGGGAAGGGAACTGGTGGCAGTCCCAACCTCCTCCCAGCCCTGTCTCCATCAGGCATAGGAGCAGCAAGTCCCAAACCTGCTCCATAAAGGAACTTTTTGGGGGGATCGGATTTGGAATCTCCCTCGCTGCTCAAGTAACTGCCTTGGGTTAGGGTTAGCCTTGAAGCTGGCTCAATGGTACCTCATCTATTGCCATCTGGGGCTCTGTCTTGTCTTTGAAAAGTGACGTTTGTTTGTGATGTGTTTTTTCTTTCCCTTCTGTCATATAAAAGCTGCAAACGGTGCTTACCCTCATCCCTGCCCATGCTGGATTCCTGCTGTGCTGCCTCTGCTTGTTTACTTTAAATAAAGTTGTATTAGAAAATTGCTCTGGATCATTGTTTCCCCGTGGTCCTCACAAGCCTCTCCCCTGGGTTATCAGGGTCTTTCAGACTCATGACATTCTCTACAGTCTCCCATGTCCAAAGAAGGTGCTTGTGGCCGTGGGCACCAGCCATTAACCACCGTTAGATGGGGACCGGCTCCCTCGCAGTGGTGCCGAGTCAGGCACTGAGGCACCGACTCAGCTCTTGCATGGGGAATTTAGGCCACTTTCAGACACATTTAACTCTTAAATAAATACTATGATTACATCTCCTAAAGACTATGATTATATCTCTACAGGAGTGAAGCAGGATCAAGCTGCAGCACTCTTCCAGGTTTAAAACAGGTTGGCTGCTGTGGGTGCTGCTCTGTCTGCAGGGAGATGATCCGGAGGAGTTGCTGCTGCATGTTCCCATCACCACGCTGGGGTTTTTTTTATTCTAGTTAGTATAGTTGTTTATTTTTCTTACCTTCCTTGCCTTCAGAGGAGAATCCAGTGTGTCTGGCTGTGGCTCGGTGTGGTTTGTTGCCACCAGCCACCTCCCAGAGCAGCTGTCGGATTTGCAGCAGCAGCATTTGGCACACTAAAACCATTTATTTGGGATGTTTTGGGGATGGAGGAGAACCTGAGGTAAAGACTCCACATAACGATAATAATCCCTAGCTCTTCATTAAGCACAGTCGCAGCACGACTGGAGGGGACTCAGTTTTGCTGTGGAAAAGGTGATTTTTTTGGCTCCCAGGAAGCTGTGCTGTGGCCAACCATGACTCAGAAATGGGGTGTTGGCTCTTGCCTCGTGCCCACACGTTTTGGAGAGAAGGTTGGAGGGGAGAATTCAGCCCTGGGAGCGCTGGGGGAGGCCTGGTGCTGGCGCTGGCTCGCTGAGCTCCTCCCGAGGTGGCTCCACTAGATGTCATTGCAAGCTGGGGATAAGCTCGTGGCTGTGGCCACCCGGGCACCAGCCGCAGGTGCTTGGAGCACCCGACAGCACTGTGGGTACCAGCAGCCCCCCCACAGGGTCCTGAGGGACCGTGCTGCAAACACACATGGTGTGGCCCTGGCTGGAGGGGTGGATCCATCACAGTGATCCCAGGACATCCCAAATGGGACAAAGCGAGACTGAGGCTCACAAGTGACAGGGATTCATCCTCACAGCACAGCCCCTGGCCTCTCCTCTGCCCTGGCAGCTTTTCCCAGGGCACTGGGCTCACTAGGGGCTCTGTGGTGCCTGCCCAGGCTGTGACTGTGAAAGGGGCCTGGGAGGAAAGCCCATGATAAGAGGTATTCTTTGGGAATGGGGAGAAAGGAAGAGATTTGGGCTCCCTCCGAAGCTCATATTTCATATCAGAGGATCCTACAATGGTTTGGATTGGAACGCACCTTAGAGCTCATCAGGTTCCATGAGCTCATCAGGTTCTTGCGATGGAGCAGGAACATCTTCCACTAGACCAGGTTGCTCCAAGCCCTGTCCAACCTGGCCTTGAACACTTCCAGGGATGGGGTAACCACAGCTTCTCTGGGCAACCTCTGCCAGGGCCTTACCATGCTCACAGGGAAGAATTTCCTCCCAATATCCCATCTAACCGTGCTCTCTGTTAGTGTGAAGCCATTCCCCCACATCCTGTCACTCTTTAGGTACAGAAAGGTACTGTTTCACCTTATCCAGCTCCTGCAGGTCCTGTCCAATGCCTGACCCACGAGTATTCTCTGCATGGACAGGGAATCATTGTGCTTGCAGAGAGTCCCTTCACTAACCTCCCCACTCTGCACCTTATACTATAAGTATGTGTATAGATGTGTGTGTGTGTGAGAGAGAAAAACGGCACCCGGATACTGGATATGTGTTACGTATTTCACATCTCACCCAGCTGGACTGGGTATAAATCCTGCAGCCTGTGACCCTGCATGTGTAGGAATTAGGGAGATTGGAGGCAGCTGCCAAGTGTAATCCATGGGGAAACGTGCCACCAAACCCACACTGGGACTGCTGCCCTGGTCTGGGGTGGGAAAGAGGCTGCTGGGGTTTCCCAGGTTTGGGGAGGGAGAGGTGAGATAGGATGGAGGAGTTTTGGGAGGTTCAGGGCTGGGAGCTCACTGTTCTGGTAGCATTCTCTGTCCACTCCAGCCTGCTCGTGGGAACCCACACCCAACAGGGATGAAAAGTTGTTAAACTGGGCTCAGAAAGCTGCTGCCACAAGTCCTGATCCTGCCAGCTTGGGACTGCATGGCCTGGTGCAGCAGGTGCTGGGAGCTGGTGCTGGGAGTTGGTGCTGGGTGATGGATGCTGGTTCTGAGTGGTGGGTATTGGGTGCTGGTTCTGGGTGCTGAGTGTTGGGTGCTGGGAGGTGGTGCTGAGTGTTGGGTACTGTGCTGGACGATCGTGCTGGGTGCTGGAGCTGGTGCTGGGCAGGCCGGCTCGAAGGCAGAGCTCCCCCAGAGCCGCTGTCCCCGCTGTCACGTGCCACAGCGATGCTAATCCCGTTTTGAAAGCCCGCGTCCCGCACTGCACCCGCTAATCCCCCTCAGTGCCACGGCTGCGGGGCTCGGCGCTGCCTCGGGGAGCCCCAGGGTGTCCCTGCCCCTGGGTCCCCTCTACAGGCACTTCTGCCTGAGCCCACATCCTCTGCCTGCCTCTGCTCCAAGCCCCGAGGATGCTCAGGTGCTCCCTGCCCTGTGCAAACGGGTGCTGAGTCCCGGACACCCGCAAAACACACCTTGGATAGAGGCTGGGCCGTACCGGGTCAGGACATCTCAGCAGTCCCTGGAAGCGCCGCGCTGCCCAGGAGGAGGGAGGAATTCACTTACTTGGCCAACCTGGCTTCGGCACAGCCCCGGTCACTCAGCACGACGACCTTGGCGGCAGCACCGAGGAGGCAGGTGAGCGGCTCGAACCTGCCTGTGTCGGAGCCGGGGCCCCTCCCCGGGAGCAGCCGCCTTCCCGGCAGCGCCGGGGGCTCTGCACCGCGGCTCCTGCTGGGGTGGCGCGGGCTTCGTGCGCTGAGGAGTAATATTGTTGTTCCCTTACGATGGCAGCAGCTTCCTCGTGGGAGAGGGGGAAAAAGCACAAACCGAACTGGGGAGAAAATAAGAAGAGAATGTTTGCCGACTGTCTGCTGTGTGTTGTTGCTGTTTGTTGTGTTTCTGCGGTTGCTTTGGCAACCGCGGGAAGATATGCCAGGCTGTAGCATGGCGGGTACCAGCGCGGCGTGCGAGAAGCCGGGGCTCCGCTCCCACAGGGCCAAGCTGCCGGCCCGGTGGCAGCCCCCGGTGGGGCTGGAGGGCTTCAGGCAGGGGATTGATGGGGTCACGTTTGTGCCCAGCTCAGCTGCTGCCCTCCTGAGCGAGCCTGTGGTGGGCACTTGCTTCGCACCGCATGGACCTTCCGAGAGGGACCTGGCTCAGAGACGAGCAAAGGAAGAGTGACTGGAGGGTCCGATGGGTTATCTCTGCCATGGGGACAGCAGCCAGCCCCACTGTTCCCCAGGAGCCTAGGAGTGTCTGGGCTCATCCCCTCCCTTCTTGTCCAGAGGAAAGGGAGCGAAACAGCCGTGTTGTGGAGGGGCAGCTGCTGCCATGTAGCGCTTGCCAGAGGGGCGTCAGGAAATGCCGAGTGTGAGGGCACCTCTGTCTATCCAAGGAAGGAGCCATTCCTCTGGTACTGGAGCACCAAACCGTGGCCTAACACGGGCAGGGTCATGCTGCTTTCTGTCTCCTGCATTGTGGGGCAGAGAGGGCTGCTGCCTGTGTGGCAGTGGGGGATGGAGCCAGGATCCTGAGGGGCAGCGTGGGACTAGGGGGACCAGGGCAGAGGAGCCTGGCCGAGGAGGGGACGGGGCCAAGAGCAGCTCGGGGAGGATGGGGATGCTCCCAGAGCTACTCTCTCCCTCCTGCAGCCCCGGGAACTGTGCAAGCTGACATCCGTCAGAGCAGGAGTCGGTGTGCCCCGCGGCATCCCCAGGGCAGAGCAGTCAGGGGGTGGGTGAAGGCTTTGCCCCTGGGAGCCAGGAACATTCTGTGTAGCTCCAGAGATGCGTGTTAACTCTTTGGGGGCTGCAGCAGGAGAACTGAGCTCCTCGGGGCTGTGGACACCATCCACCCAGAGCCTGCAGATCCCAGGGCTTGGATATTTAGATATTTCTGTAAAGCAGTGGTTTGGGGGCTCTGATGCTTCCTGTCCCACTTTGCACGAGAAGTGCCAGTGAGGAAAGGTTTCAGCCTGCTGCTGGTCAGAAGTGCCAATTTAATGAAATTATTTAATTGCTGCATCTCCAAATGGCGCTTTTTGAACTGAAAGGAGAGGCCTGATGAGGAATCCTGCCCTGAGCTGGAAGCTGACTCATTCTCCTCCCAGTCCTGGGGTCAGCGCTGGATTGCAAATAAACACACCAAATTCCCACTGCTGGGTTCTGGGAACGTGCTCCCAGCTCTTCGTGGAGGGCAGGGACCCAGGAAGAGGCTGAGTATCCGCCTGCTTCCCACTGCATCCTCCCACCCTTGGAGCAAGGGGGGCTTTGGTGACACCTGGAGCTGTCTGGGGTGGGGGGAAACACCACTTTGCTCTGATGAGGGTCTGAAAAATCCCAAAGGGCAGAGATTTGCTGCCCTGTTCCCTCTTCCAAAAGGAGGCCCCAGCTCTGTGACATCCTTGCTGTGCCCACCAGGCGAGACCCAATTCCCATTTCTTTGCTTACAGCTCTGGTATCTCCATCCCCTCCTTGGCACATGGTTTCCATCACAGGATCTCTGGGTGCAGCTTCAGCCCAAGCCCAGGTCTTGGGAGGAAAGGAAAACGGAAGCAATAAGAGGTTGGAGCTGGACTTGAATCCACATCCCAGGATGAAAGGGCAGCACGTTCCACCCCAAAAATTTCCCCATGCAGGGCTAAGCAGAAGCTGGAGCCAGCCTGAGTCACCCTGTGTGGCTGCTGCCGAGGCAGGAGTGACCTTGTGCTGCTGAGCCAGC